AGGTTGCCAGCAGTGGCTCAGTGCCCCAGTTAGTCAGTTTTCTGACTCTGTAGTGTGCACACTGACCCCCACCATCCTGAGGTTGGCACCCTTGCTGTACTTACTGGGCCACCTATTCCCAGAGTGCAGGAAACCATGTGGACATACGTATGGGCAACCCAGTGCAATGATGTGGCCACAGGGGAGTGAACCGCCACAGGGGCCAGAGAAAAATGGTCTGGGGTGTTGGGGATGATCTCAAATCTATGCTACAGAAGCCTACGGCCCAGGGGGTGGGGGAGGTTTAGCATGTGCCCCTCCCTGGGTCAGTTCAGTCAAGTGTGTGGCCAAGACTTCCCAGCACCAGGGCGTGGCTACAGAGGCAACCCCGGAGAGAGGCATGTGGGTTCTCCCCCTCCTCACAGTTATAAGTATTGTACATACATCCCACCAGCGTAGGCAAGGTCACCAGGCCAGGCATGGGCACCAGACCTGAACAAGCTGCTTTCTAGTTCTGGAGGGTCCATGTATTGACCCCTTCTGTCCTGAGGGTGGCACCCTCGCTGCACTAGACTGTTCCCAGGGCACAGGGCCAAAGCCAAGGGTCAATCCCAGTCCTAAGCTCACCGCAGCAGTCAGGGTCCCAAGGGTGGGAGCAGCTCCACGTTGAGTCCCTCCCCAGGCCAACACAGCCACATGTGATCACAACAGTTCCCAGTACCAAGCGCATGACATCAAGGAGCAGCACAGACCTCACTTTCCCGCAGGCAAAAACTCATCCTGAATCCCCGCCACTACAGGTTAGGGAATGGGCGATGATGGCCGAGAATTTTTCCATTCTCTTTGTGGCTATCCTGAGTTTCTACACTCACCAGCATCTCCGCGGTTCCCTCGCTGTATTCCAGGTCCCTCCTTTCATTTTTCTCCTTCAAGGGTCACAGCGTATTGGATTCATTCTCCGTCTTTGTGAGACAGTCAAGCAATGTCTCCTTGTAGTCTGCCATCTTGCTCCGCCCCTTAGAAAATTAATTATTTAATATCACAAGACACCTAGTGAGTGGCATATTCCATGCCCCCAATTACCTCAAAATGTTTGTTCAGGCCAAGATCCAGTCACTTCCAGAAAATGTGTCTGATTGTTGTGTCTCTGCAGTTGAGGGAGTGTTTTTTGTTTGTTTGTTTGTTTGTTTCATGAGAGAAACTTCAGCACATTTAAACATTGTTGAGATGCTGCCAGTGGAGAGAGAGAGAGATCGAGAATCCTGGACTGAGAGGGGATGATGGCTGAGAACCCAGCGAGATGGGTTCCGGGAGGAGTGGAGAGCAGGGTCTTAGAAGGAGCCCCATCTTCTCCCCTCACCCTGACCATGGGGCAGTTTGGGGAACTTCCATGCAAATGCTGGGAGACTCAGCAGCAGGAAGTCGAGGCCATTCCCTTCCAGATGGTTCCTCCTTTTCCCTGTGCCATTGAATGTGTTGCATATGGACGAGAACCAAGTCTCTTTTTCCCTGCTGTACAGTCAGCACCCCTCACAGTATAACGGATGCTCAATAAGTATCTTTTAAGTGAATCCGTGAATGAATATTGAGAGTGATGAGGGTTTTTAGGTTTAAGGGAAGTGGAGAAGGTTCAAATTATTGAGAACACTGCTGTACTACTCCTTTTTATGAATCAAGCTCTGTTCTAAGGACTTTATAATTAATTTAATCATCACAAAAACACCATGTATTGAGTGTTATTATTATTTCTATTTTCCAAATGCAGATACAGAGAGGTTGAGTAACTCTCACAAGATGACACAGTTAGTGACTGTACAGCCTGACCGTGAAGGTTCTAGCACCTGAATAGTCTGAATCATTCCAAGAACCCAGCTAAAGCTGTGGCCATGAATTTACACCTGGTTCAGGGATTAGCTCTAGCAGTGTATGTGTAGGAGTTCTTGTAGATGTGCCTGCTGGTGTTAAGAGTTTGGGCACAGGCTTTCCTGGGTCAGCTGGTGAAGAATCTAAGAGGATTGACATTCAGGCCTCTTTGTGTCACACCTACGTACTACAGCACGTCAAGCTAGAGTCCAGTGGTCCCAGCCCTGTTGTTCACAGACCCAGTTAAAAGTTCCTCTCCTGAAATGCAACGGAGTGTCCTTTCCCCATGTCCACAGCCAGAGATTTGGTTAATGCATAGAATTTTCACTTCTGTGAAATTTTAACCCATAAATGCTTTCTAAACATTTGGCACCAACTGCAGCTTGGCAATACTGAAATCTAGTAGATATGCTCTAATATGATTTGTGGTTTTGTACATCCTTATATACTCAGGAGTTTGAAGTTTATTAATCTCTGTTTTTCAAGATGTTTATCAAAGAGCCCCATAGATGAGCCGTACCTTTGAGAACAGCTGTGCATAGGCACTTGCTGCTGGAGAAGATCAAACTTGGTCAATTTTTTCTGTGTGGTAACTTATCTAATCTTAAAGGGAGGGAAGAAGTAAAATGTAATCTGTATAGGTGTTTTTCCCTGGGGGAGAAAAAAAAAAAGCTTGTCAGTGATTTCCCATTTAATATCCAAAAAGTTTCTTTAACATATTCATCAACATGAGCAATGATTGGTATCCTCTATGAGCCATGACTCTCTGTGGCTTTGCACAAAGATTTTGATCAAAGAGACATTTTCTAATGACATGACTTCTTAAAGACAGTCCATGATGAGAATAATCTGAGCAGAACAGCACGGAGAGGGGCTGAGACAAACTGAACCTGGTGTGTGTCCCAGGGCAGTGGTCATGTCTTCTGTGGCTCATAAATAACCACCGCAGAGTATCCTCAAAGTAGACCCCAGTACATGTAACCCCAGTACATGTTAAGTCAGTTGGGAACACAAAACAGATAGACGTAACATGACAGTTTCTTAACAGAGATTGGAATGAAAATTATGATTAATTATCATTCTCATCGGCAGTTGGAGGAAGAGTACAGTGCAGGACACAGCATTATGTGAAGTATTTTGACATATTATAATCTGTAATCCTTACAACCACCTTTGAGGTAGGAATTATGATGCTTGTTTTCTGGAAAAATGAAAGTAAAATGCAGGGTGAGTTAGTAACTTGTCCAAAATCCCATAGCTAGTAAGTGGAGGCACCAGGAAACTTAGGCACATTTTTCTGGCTCTCAAAGCTACACTTACACAAGACAGACCTGCAGTCTCCATGTTTTAAGGCCTATCCACCACCTTTCTTTAGTGGTGAAAAACAACAACCCTTTTTATTTCTGTAGATCAGAAGTAAGAAATTTTCTTTTCAACCAAGGGCTGTGTACCACCTGTTTTGCATTAGCCGAACTCATTAATTTATTTTAGTTTGTAAGGACAGAAATAAAAAATGTTCCACTCATCTGATTTCACATAACAAGTTTAGATAAAGCTCTATTCAGAAATTATATCAAATTAAAATATATAGCTCAATTATTGTCAGTAGGAAAAAAAGGGCAGAAGCATCTTTAAAATTTGCCAAAACTTTGGGTGGCAAAAATCAAACTCAGATACTGAAGCTGTTCACCTTTTCTTCAGTGATAAAAGCAAACGGCATTAAAATTCCTAACATGGTTAAATAGTACTAGAGTTGATTATTAACAGTGTTTGCCATTAAAAAGTTTGAAAGGACATTCTAATTAACTTCTTGTGTTTATAACATGCTCATTGTAAACGAAAGAAAAATTTGAGCAGTATAGTTTTTAAAAAAGAAAAATCAAAATTACCCAAAATTCCACCGTTATCATTTGGTGAGCATCCTTCCAGACATTTCTGTGCAAATATTACAATGCGTACAGTGTTTACAATATTGGAATCATACTAGTCATGCTGTTTATTATCCTAGAGATTTCACACATGTGTCATAGACATAAGAGAGCTTTTCGAGATCTTCTTTCCCCTTCATTTTAAAGAAAGGAAGGAAAAACCTACCTTTCCTTTGGGAAGTACAGTGGGACCCCTGTTTTATAAAGGTCTGCTTTCAGGGAAAAGTAGCTCCATCTTGTGGCCCTTTGGAGTATGGTCATTAAGACTTCAGAAGTCACGTGTTTTTGCAGCTCTCATGGAAATGGTGTCAGCTCTGGGACTTGTCCAGTAGACTTGATGGAAACCAGCACGGGGGCAGAGAATCCCTGTCTGTCTGTAGAGAAGGGGCAAGTTCTCTGTAGTCACAGGGGCCCCCCTTTATGTCCCTGCTCTTGTGTGAGTAGCTTAGATCTAGACAAAGTCTCAATTAGAAACAGAAAAACTAGGACCAGAGCCCAACTCTCCCAGCTTCTAACATGGGCTGTCTCCTCAATTTCCTCTTTAATCTCAACTTTAACACTGTTAAAGAAGCTGCTCTTACTGGCTAAGTTGCCTCAGTCTCATAAATTCGTCCTCTAGGCTTTCAGAGTGGAAGGTGGAGACCCAAGGTAGGTGTAATTTCACAAGGAATTTCTGAAAGGATCATTCACCTGTCCTCTTGTCCTGCACTATTACATCCAAGTTTTAACTTTTTTTTTTTTTTTTTGTCTTTTTGTCTTTTTTCGTGACCGGCAACGGATCGCAACCCTCAGTGTCGCGCCCATACCGGACCGGGACCGGCAACGGGATCGCAACCCTCAGTGTTGCCCCCGCTCCTCGCTCAGCCAGTGAGCGGCCGGTCTGTATGTGGGATCCGAACCCTCGGCGGGAGCGCCACCGCACTCCCAAGCGGTGCACTGTAGCAGTGCGCCACCGGGCCGGCCCCCCAAGTTTTAACTTTACAAAATAGTTTGTAATGTTAGAAAAAATATCTCTTTAGAGATAAAATTGAATTTTCTTATCTGTGTATACATGGTGAGCCCAGATCTGATTGGTAATCCATACGAACGTGTCATTTTCTGTAAATAGGACCTTTTGTGGGTAAAGGTTTTCACTTCATATAAACACCATAAGCAGAAAAGTTGTTTTTCCATCTAAACAAGCACCTTTTGATTGGATTTTTTTTCCCTTTTTCTTTCTCTCTTATGCAGTACATAGTGGAATGTCACGGGATCACCCTTCTCCCCCAATTCTTGGGCATGTACCGGCTTAATGTCGATGGAGTTGAAATATATGTGATTGTTACAAGAAATGTGTTCAGCCACCGTTTGTCTGTATATAGGAAATACGACTTAAAGGTAAGATTGACTTTATTAATTTTTTTTTTACATAACTTAAACTTACTCATCCACATTATAAAATACAATTGATCATACAAAATGCTTAGGAGGCGCTCAGAGCTTAAAGCTACCAGACAACTAGCCATGTATTATTCGTTCATGTTGAGCAATCAGGGCTTGTTGGCTTTTCCAAAAGACACTTGTTCATATTAGAAATATCATGTATATTTATTCAGCACCAACTACATACCAAGCACTGTTCTAGGTGCTGTGAATAATTTTATGAACAAAACAAACCAAACCTGCACCAAGGAGCTGACATTCTGGTGGGTAAAGACAGACAATAAGTAAAAGTAATAAGCAAGTGATATAGTATATTAGGAAGTGATAAGTGCTATACTTAGAAATAAAAACAGAGGGGGGTACAGTTTTAAATATGGTGTCAAGGAAGATTTCCCTGAGAAGATGACATTGGAGGAAACCTGAAGGAGATGAGGGAATGAGCTGAGGGAAGAATGCTCCAGGAAAAGGGAACACTAAGTACAGAGCCCCTGAGACAGGAGGGAGAAGGGGACCCTGGAAATTCTGAGAGTGGAGTGACATGATCTGACTTCTAGCATCAATGACTCAGGGGAAGAATGTCCAAGATAGGAGCTGGCAAACTATGACCTGCCTGCATTCCAAATCCAACTTGGAGTCCATTCTTGTAAATAAAGCTTTATTTGGAATACTGCCATGCCGATTGTTTCTGCATTGTCTGTGGCTGCTTTTGCACTATTAACAGTAGAGTTCAGTAATTACCACAGAGACCATTACGTACCACAAGCCTGAAACATTTATGCTGTGACCCTTTCAGAAAAAATCTGGTCTACATCAGTTGGTTTCAAGTTTTTGGGTCTCAGAACCCTTTTCCACTCTTAAAAGATGACCCCAAAAAGGTTTTGCTTATATAGGTTGTATCCGTGGATATTTATCATATTAGAAATTAATATGATAAATATTAAAATACTTATTTTAATTTATTTAAAATAATGATAAAACCATACTTTAACATATTTCTATGAAAATGACTGTATTTTCCAAAAGCAAAAATTAGACAAGTGGCATTGTTTTACATTTTTGCAAAACTCTGCCACATCTGACTTAATGGAGACAGTTGGAACATCACATCTGATTCTTCTGTCAGTCTGTTGCAGTGTTATTTGATTGAAGTACATGAAGAAAATCTGACCTCACACAAATAAGTAGTTAGAAAGGAGGAGGAGGATGTTTTAATAACTTTTTCAGATAATTGTAGATATTCTTTGATACTACACCAAAACTTGACAAGAGGTCATTTCTCAAAGCTTTGTTACATTGTGGAATCTGAAATCACATCAGTGAACTTTTTGTACTCTTTTCATTAAAGTCCATTGGTCTGTTTGCATGATTTTATGAAGTCATTTGGGACATATTGGTTTACCAACTTATGTGACTCTTCCAAATATCGACACTTTTCATTATACAGCATCAAAAAGTCACATTTACATCACCACCAACCTCATCAGAAAAGTCTTTTATGTATTAGAAAGCTGTCACACTCAAAGTAGTGGATATAAATGTTTTAAAATTCTGATTTTCCCTTGAAAGCTCAAATTTTATCATCAGCAACAAGTCAGTTGTTCTGTGTGAAATGACAGCACACAGCCTCCCTGCACACAGCTGAGCCCAGCAGCTTTGTACCTTTTTGAGCAAATACCTGCCACATGCCTAGATCTACATATTGTTAGTTGTTCATTCAAGTAAAAATGTTGTTTCATGAACAAGGTGGCTGATTCAGCCCATAACTCAAAACATCGCAGAAGTGGTTCTTAAGAAACCATGCCTTCTTTGTAAACAGAAGAGGTTTAGGTGTACTTTCTACACAGGATTTGGAAAAGGTGTGAAGATGTGTGCTCCGGGGTCAAGATTTGATCAAATTAATTTTATTGCTTCATCAAGCAATAAACAAAGCATTTATTGCTTTGACTATTTACTAGTTGCCTGCTTGTACAAGGTGTTGTCTCAGGCTTCATCAACTTGCACTCAGTTAACAAGTCACAACACCAGGCTCTCTGGCTTCAGAGGTCACTCTGAAATGATGCTCAGTCTCTTAAATGATGCTAGATTTTGCGGGGGGTTACTTTTATTTGTAACCACGAATACTACAAAGACCCTTTGGTGCCACTGTTTGATTTGTGCTGAGCTGCCAACAATATTCCCCACCATTGTTTTTGCAATAGCCATGTGAATATCAAGATTGTGGAAAAGGCAAATAATGTCTCAGTATTATTATAAAAATAGTTTTGAGTTTGCAGACCTCCACAAGGGCCCTAGGACCCTAGGGTTCTGAACCACACTTGGAGAAATGCCCAGGCTTGTCTCCTAACTTATGAAGTCCAGAGAAACTGGATCAATTTCTCAAACATAGCATCATTGTGTCCTCCTCCAAGTCCCAGCTCCAGCCGTTGTGTTCCTCTGGAATTGTCCCCGGGGAAATCCTCACCACCCTCTGGGCTCTCACCAGCACCGGCTCTCCCTGGAGCCTCTGCTGTGCTGCTGCTCAGTGCACTCTGTTGTGTATTTCAGGACTCTGTGTGCTGGTTTGACTCTCCCGTGTGAGAAAGCCAGAGTAACCTGTGAAGACACATGTCTGGGTTTTGTGGCTTGTTAGCCATGTACAAATTGCTGCATCTCTGAGCCTCAGTTCCTTCATCTGTTAGAACAGGAGTAATTTTTCCTATGATTGCAGGGTTGTTGTGAGGATTAAATGAGATACAAATTGTCATATGCAGCATAAGGCATAGCATGTGGGAGGTGGTCTGTGAACTTTGATTGTCTCATCTGTTCTGCTAGTGTGCCGGTGCCTTATGGGCAAGTATTTTGTCCTATTTACTTTTTTTGTCTCCCAGAAATGCCCAAGATAGTACCTCATACGAGTAGGCATCTGGTAAATATATCTTGATGTAAATTAGAATCTTTTACTTTTGGCGGCTTGGCCCGTATGGGGATCTGAGCCCTTGACCTTGGTGGTAATCAGCACCATGCTGTAACCAAGTGAGCTAACTAGCCAGCCCTTGATGTAAATTACATTTGTAGATAGAATATTATTGTTTTAATTTGGCTTGCATTTCGTAATTTTATCTCCCTCTTTAGTTCGTAGAATAAATAAGTTCTGTGCTTGTTAGTGCTTTCAGTTGTGATGGAATCTGTACGTTTGGCATCATTTCACGGCTCAAACTCTTGGCCTAAACTTACTAACTTTACTTTTCTATTTTTGTTTTAAATTTTTATTCTGAATTAATTTAAATTTGGATGAGTTTTTTCCTCCAGATTAATGATCTGCATTACATAGAGATGAAACTTCCCTGAGAATCAGAAGCAGGGTGAATTACATTGTAGGAGGGAAAATGCACACACAAACCAACAGCTTGATTCAGGATACAAAGTAGAATAAAGAAATAGCTTCTTCCTCTGCCCAATAGCATAGGCAGTGCTCAAGTATTACAAATGTCCTATTTTTGTTTTTGTTTTTGTAATTTGGGAACATTCTTTGTTAGGAATAGTGTGTAAAGGAAGGTATTTGTGGCCCATATTCAGGAATCCCTAAAGGAAGGAAAATAGACCACTGCAAGTGACAGTTGCTGGGCTCAGCTGTGCAGAATAGAACACGCTGCCCTCGTGCAGTGGGTCCTCAGGGTTTCCTGCACGAATGATCCACATGGTTCATCTTCATTTGGTGGGTCATCTTTGTGCTCCTCCAACTCGTCCCCAAGAAACATTGAGCATTTTCCCAGGGCCAGAGCAGGGTCCCTCACACTCTCCAATTCTGGGTTTGCTAGCACCAGAGGAATAGAAAACTGACCCTGGCAGGACTCGCAGCCTGGTCTTGGCTCCCTTCCCACCACCAGGAGTCTCTTCAGTCTGAGTTTCTGCATCCAAGAATTCCAGGCAGCACACATTCTATTCAGTGCCTGAAGTGCTTGAATGAAAGCTGGTAGTAATGTAAAAATTTTGATTTCTCTGTGAATGGTCAGTCTAGAAGCTGCTTTCACTTTACCCACATGAAATAAAAGTTTTTTTTGTTGATTGACTAACTCAGGTATTCCAGAGCAATAAATGTCTCTTTGGGAGGCAGTCAAGTAAGCAGATAGCTCTGCTGACCTAGTAGTGGTTTGAGTATCCAGTGCTGGAGGGGAAGGAACACCCGTAAATTCATCTGTGATCCTTTTCCAACCATTTATTCAGTAAACACCAAGCATCTGCTGTGAATAAGACTACCGTGATCGTGATCGTCACTGAGGAGCACAAAGAAGAGTCATTGTTGCATTAACATATTTAGGAATTCCCTGGATCATTTGTTTCCCAGCTTTTCTTTTGAATTAAAATCTTCCACAAACAAAGGAAAGTTTCTCTGCTTGAACTCTACCCCAAAGCCTCCCTGTCAGCATCTGAAGTGGTCTCAGGTCATCTTGGACAACCCAGAGTTCTGAGGCACAGTTTTGAAAATCTCTGGGTAGAGTAGGAACTGCTGAGATCAAGGACTGGGTTTTCCTCCACTTTGTACGTCTGTGCTCAGCATAGGGCCTGGCACAAAAGAGGTGCAAGTCCATGTGTGTCTTTGAAGGAATCTCTAAAGTAAAGGGGTCAGGAAGTGCCCACACGGGACTGGTGTGTTCATCGGTAACTGTAAAACAGGGAAGAAACAATAAGTGTTACAGAAAAGGCACTCAGAGGTCCAGGACCTGCCCGCCTCTGGAAGCCACAACGTGGGAAAAGAGGCATTTAGTGCCTGATGGTCACTGTGGCCATTCAGTGGCCCACTTCCCCTTTGAAGGTAACAAGACCAACAACTTCTGGCAGTTGATGCAGGAAGGTGTGGTTTTGACCCAGTGTTTAATAAGTCAAGTCAGGTTTACTGATTTCTGGCAGGTGAACAAGAACCAGAAAGACAGGACAGGTGAGCAGGTGGAGAGGAGTGGACAAGAACACCTGGGGGTGTGGACACAACCCGGGCAAAGGGCCGTGTTCAGGAGGACTCCAACAGATACTCTATTTCTGTGCTCTACCCAGGACCACTTTCAGATTTTATGCACGTGAAACTGATGCTTCGCATATGCATGTTTTTATTATTTCTTTGTGTTTCAGGGCTCTACAGTGGCTAGAGAAGCTAGTGACAAAGAAAAGGTAAGTACCTCGACGTGTTTCCCGCTGTTACCCGGCACACGCTTGATCAGCACCTCTCATATTATTCTTTCTCTCTCATCTCCCACCGCTGAGATTCTTCCCGTTTCCCCTTCCTCTGCCCCCGCGAGAAACACAGGACTGAACAGAGGAGTGTTCTATTTCCCTCCTCTTCTTCAGGTTGCTGAATAATGAAGTAGTTATTAGTTGTAAGCGTGGTTGAAAGAAACATTTCACATGCAAAATGCTCCTGAAAGCACAGCTGCCTGCGCAGTAAACTTTTGATCACAAATGGCAGTGACAGCTCAGAATGCTCAACTGCGGGTCAGGGAACAGGGTCCTAACACTACTTTACCACTGACTAACCAGATGTGACCTTGAACAAGTTTCTTTGCCCCTCTAAGTCTGTCATCTAATCTGTGACGTGTTGGCTTGGATGAGCTTCAACTCCTTTCCAACTATGAAATATTAAGATATGATTATATTTTGCTTAAAAAATTAGGGATGAAGAGACCACATCTTTTTATCTCTTCCTGACTCATTGGATGTTAGGAAATACTTGTATCACGTATAGTTTATTATACAAGATTATAGACAGAGTCAACTTGAAGGATGTTTGAATAAGAATTTTGGAAGTAGTCTCCTGTATGTAAACCTAAATTAACCTGATCGACCTGTGCTTGTGTGAAAAGTACCTCTGTACTCTCAGTTGTTTCTACCCGCCACCTTGGTAAGTGCCCTTTCTTGACTAAAGTAGTCCTTTTCAACTGCAGGAATAAGACAGCCAGTGAATGCCTGAAAGCGCAGATAGGACCAAACCCTAGCCAGTGAACACCAGGGTCGCCTCCACTTAAAAGAAGCACTTTGTGGCTTCTCTTTGGCATACCCAAATTGCCAGCATCACTACTCTTGCATATTGGGGTCATCATGAAGTAAAATAAGGGTGACTTGAACACAAGCACTGTGACACTGTGGCAGTCGATCTGATAACTGGGACCACTGCGGAGCCACTAACAGCGACAGCATGGGACAGCAGGACAGAGGGAGGATTCATGTCCCCCTGGTGGGAGGGAGCTGCACCGTGCAGGATTTCATCCTGCTATTCAGAATGGTGCACGATTTGAAACTTATGAGTTATTTATTTCTGGAACTTTTCATTGAATATTTTTGGACCATGCTTAACCGCGGATAACTGAAACCGCAGAAAACAAAACTGCAGATAAGGGGAGACTACTGTATTCCATTTGAAAGCTGGGCTCAAGGTTGTTTTTGTTTTTTTAAGTTCAATTCTTTTAGGATGTTATTGCCTTTTGATTTGAATTTTAGAAATATGTAAATCTACTTTAATTTATTCCTTCAGAATATTTGTGAATATCTTTATGGGTACTGTCCTAGCTCAGGGGCTAAAATAATGAGCCACACGGACACAGGTAGCAGGAGATGCAGACATGAATGAGGAAATGACAGTGTCATGTGCGAAGTGCTTTGATGGGATGTTCAGAAGCAATCGCCTCTGACTCAGGCTGGGCAGGGTCAGGAAGGGCTTCCTGGAAGTGGTGATGTTTAGAAACTTGAAGGGTCGTAGCAGTTAGAGGAAGAGCAGCATGTGCAGGGTTGCGGAGGAGCACTTGGAGCTTTGGCTGGAGGGAGACAGGAGGCCACAGAGGAGGGTCACACAGATGGAGAGGCTGAGGAAGTAGCCCAGAGAGGATGGGAGCCTGAGCTGGGACAGTGGTAGTGGACAGGTGACAGGGAGGGTTAGGAAGGAGAATCGACAGAACTCAGAGATGGAATGTGAAGGTGAATGGGGCTGGGGTGTGTGTGGAGGGAGGGGGGTAAGGATGACCCCCGAGTTTCTGCTTTGGACAGGTGGGTGGTGGTAATTCCATGCACCGAAATAGGAAACAGTGTGGGGAGGAGTTTGAGATGTCGGCATGCTGCCACAATGGAGATGTCCAGCAGGTGTGAGGGGTTGCGTGGAGGGCCTCGGCTGGAAAGGGAGCTTAGGAATCCTCACTTCCATGCACCGAAATAGGAAACAGTGTGGGGAGGAGTTTGAGATGTCGGCATGCTGCCACAACAGAGATGTCCAGCAGGTGTGAGGGGTTGCGTGGAGGGCCTCGGCTGGAAAGGGAGCTTAGGAATCCTCACCGGAAGGATGGTCAGCAAAGACGGAGATGTGGATGAAGTCGCCAGGTGGAATATATGGAGTAGAAGCAGGTTTAGATCCGGCCCAGAAGAATATCTTCATTTCAGGGAGCATCAACAAGGACAGTGCTGAAAAGGATCAGCCAGAGACGAGACATGAGCTAGGAAAGTCTGGATCATTCACACAAATACAAGCAAACATTTAGCCAAGCATTGTAAGAAATGCCTCAGGGAACAAGGTAGACGCAGTCCCTGCCCTCATGCAACGTGCACTCTAGTAATGTAACCCAAAACAGAGGAAGAGAACTTTTCAGTGTCACATGCTTCCACCAGGCCAGGTAGGGTGAGGACTGGGAATTATTCATAGGATTCATCAACCAGCAAGTCTCTGGGGACCTGGTCGTTGAGGAGGCAGGAGCAGAAGCCAGACTGCGGTGGGTGAAGAGAGGAGGAGAAAAGGAAGCGGTGGATCCTTCTTTGACCATTTGTATTACTCCTGCACATTAGTGAATGTAGGTTTTTACATGTCGACCCCATGTAAAACACCTTGAAGGCACCAGCTTTGGCCAAAAGAAGCAGTATCAATGACTGTTGACCTCAATGCCACTCTGAGTGAACATCTTCTGGGTGCCAGAGACCCAAGTTTAGGCTGTGAGAAGCTCCGAGGTTTCATTTTTGGGGGACTTGCTCCTAGGAGGAAATATCTGGCTGTTTAAGGAGCCACACGTACTCTCCAGCATTGTAACAACAGGCCAGCCCCTGAGTCAGAACTGTGGACAGGATGACATCATATGCCACATTGGTGTCTCTGTTTTTACTTCGTCCCAGGTCCCTGGAGAATACCACTAGCGGCATTTTTTTCCTCTGTTCATTTTGATTTCTTCAGGTTCAGTGAACAAAGGTTTGGTCTGCTCTGATAATAACCAGTGCCAGAAAGACAGTTACAGCTAATGGCATGGTTGCTGCTGAAGCCTAGATCCTAAAACAAGGACATGTTTGAAGGAAAGCCACAAGGATTTGACCTCCATGTGGCTGTTACACTTCCATTCAGTGACCTATCGTTCTCTCCACTGTTCTGCCTATAGAACTTTCCAGAAACCTGTGGCATGAACTGCATTTCCCCTGTCCTCCTCCCAAAAATGTTTTGATATGAATTTTACAAATTTGAAAATCCTTGTGGTGTACCTTCATACGTGGTCTACACCTCTTCACTGGTGTAGGTTTCTGTGAAAAGAAAGGAGAACATGGAATTTGTTTAAACAGAAACTCACTTTTCTGAGGACTCTGCCAGGATGCTTTTTCCTGTATCTAGTATGAATACGTGGCAATCATTCCTCAAAACATCTCCCATGAAGGTGGGCTCAGAGGAAGGTCAGGGATGAGAGGGACCTTGAAAGATCGGAGTCCCTCTGCCCCACCTTACATGGGACAGATTTGAGAGCCAGAAGTTGACGTTCCGTGCAGCATTCCACAGTTCATAGCAGAGACGGACACCTTACCTTCACCTGCTATTTTTTTTTTTTTAATGTTAGCTTCAATGTATTTGGAATTATGAAGGTACATCATAATAACTGACATTTGTTGAGTACAAACTATATGCCAGACACTTTTAAATTCTGTATGAATTTGGTCTTGTAACCCTTACAACCACCAGATGAGATAGGAGCTCTTATTACTTCCTTTGAGAAGATGAAGTTACTTAACAGACAGGTACAGTAACTTGTCCCAGGTCTCACAGTTAGGAAGTGACAGAGCAGCGTTTGAGCCCAGTGCTCCAGCACCCAAGCGCACCTCTCTAACCGCTACACCATACTGCTTTCTAAATGTTAGGGAGTTCTCTCTCCTGTCTCTTAAGGACATATTATCAGATATTCACGTTAATCCCACTAATCATGAAAATGAATAGGAAAAATTCACTACCTTGACAAAAATATGGTTTTAGAGTTAAATATGGCGCTAAAACATTTCATTCTTTTTTTTAAGTAGTAAAATAACTTACCTGGTTTTATATTATGTTAGCAAAACAACTAATTTATATTTCCTCCATTTTCAAGGAGTTTGAGCATTTTTGGACATAATTTCAAATGTATGTTTTTGTACATTTTCTACTACAGTCTTTGTCACTGTACCTCACTTACATTGTGTAAACCTTAAAATTGTTTACACAGTTGCCCTGAGGAAGAGTTCAGTGCCCTAGATCTCTTTCTGGGCTTGGGGTTTATGATAGCTCTTCTAGAAGGGAGAGGCTCCAAAAGGCTACCCTAGCTGCCCTTCTATACCACAGATGCTCACTGGGAAGGGGAAATAGTTTAAGGATAAAGAATGTAAAGGTAATAAGAATTGGTAATTGAGAAGGAAAGCATACCTGCCTCGGTGATAGGGCACCTTCTCTGTCTGATACCATACTTTGTTTATAATCTGGAAACATTTATTAAGTCGTTATAAATTAAACAAAATATATTAATAGAGCAGAACTCTTAAAAACATTGGATTTTTAAGTCCTGAAAATTTGCTTTCTTTTTTCCCCTACTTTTGGGTGTTCTTTTTATGATCAGTTAGTATTTTTGACTCTTCCAAAAAGCGTGCCATTCTTTGTCTTCACAAATAAAACTGTAAATGCTTTCAAAACAATCACTGGTACCTCTGGCTCAAAATCCTTGGGGAAGGCTAAAAATATTTATTTTCTACATTTTAGCATTTTATAAATGAAATCAAATGATTTACAAGAATATTATTTTCATTGCTATCATTGTATAATTATATTCCCTTCAAAATGATTTTACGGTGCAAAGAACAATTTTCATAGAGAATCTCCATTGACATGGCTTAATTAGTAATCTCAGTTCTTACTCTTC